ACCATCGCGACAAGAAAGTATCAAAGAGAGTCAATGTTGCGCGTAAAACGGTCAACATGGCTTACGAAATTGAGTTACGTCACCAGCCTATGGGTCATGCACATTATGTGCCGTGCAGGATCTCTGCCGCCCAGGACCAAATGGCAAGGCAGCTCATGTGGCGCTGACCAGATGCCTTCCACAAATGTGTCGCTTGAGCAGAAACATCGTGGCGAGGAATATGGTTGTAGGAGAATATTTAGACGACGCCGGATAATCTACGTCTTTTCGATATCCCGTTTACGTCAGTAAGCTAGAGATTTCATGTGCCTTGAGCGAAGGCAAAGGACCAAGACTTGACCAGTTCGAAGAAGGAGGTAAGCTATGGCGGGGGCGGCACTAACGGGCTTGGTTGTATTGCTCCCAGTGCACAATTCTCACTCAAATAGTTCATCCGAAAAAACAAATTAGCCCAAGCATGCCCTTCATGCGGAACTTCCTGCCTCCTGTGCAGCCTCCTGGTGACAAATCTCCGTTTGAGAGCCCACGGATTCAAGCCGATACCCTGCGGTAGAACCCACACCGGTCACCTTCGCGGTAAAACACAGACCAGCGCACGGGACTCGTGCCCCACCTGGAAGCGGTAGAATGTGCCGTCGCTCCGGACGGTCAGCGTGTGGTCGTCGATGGGGAAGAGGTAGCCGTGCGCAGCCATGAGGTGAGCGAGGTGCAGCGCCTCGGCTGAAACGGGGCGTCACTTCAGCACCGCTAGACAGGCAAGGGGTGCCACAGTGACAAGACCACACGACGCCTCGGCTGAAACGGGGCGTCACTTCAGCACCGCTAGACAGGCAAGGGGTGCCACAGTGACAAGACCACACGACGCCTCGGCTGAAACGGGGCGTCACTTCAGCACCGCTAGACAGGCAAGGGGTGCCACAGTGACAAGACCACACGACGCCTCGGCTGAAAAGGGCGTCACTTCAGCACCGCTAGACAGGCAGAGGGTGCTTCAGTGACACGGCCACACGACGCCTCGGCTGAAACAATGGCGTCACTTAAGCACCGCTAGACAGGCAGGGGGTGTCACCGTGACACGTTTCCAAAAACAATGTTCAAAATAATAAAGAACTAAATATTTGGCACAGTGCTGTGTTTGGTTTCATGACTGCAAATCCACCTGACTTCCAGGCAGCTGCAGTCTGTATTTGTACTTATATTTAACCCATTGCGCGAACCGAAAACTCCAACCGCTAATTGCCAGCTTATCCGAATGCCAAACAATGGTTGCTGCCAACGAAACAGGTCGCCACGCCCTACTGCATTCTCCTGCTGACCAGTCACTGGGTCACTAAAGCCCCGCGCCCCAGGGTGTGGCACTACGGTCAACAACCCAGCTGGGACAACCCCCCGGCATTTGATGGGTTTGAGCGCTGAGTGACCGAGGAAGTATACGGCTTGAGCGCCCCAGCAACACCGAGGGAGATTGCGCTTGCATTCTAAGAAGATATATTGAGCTTTCAAGTTGCAAATAATCAGCCTTCCGAGACGTCCAAAGAATCGATCAGCACAACAATCCTATATATATATATATATATATATATATATATATATATATATATGGATTGTATATATATATATATATATGTATATATATATATATCTATAATATATATATATATATATATATGTCATCCCTCGTACCGATGGAAGTAGGTATCCCCCATGAGTTTCCGGGGATGGCTGGAAAAATGTTTCTTACGCTAGCATTTTGAAATGTTGGGATTTTGCTTACATCAGTTTAACGTTTGCCCTGAAATCTTCAAGTCCGGGTCACATCGGATCAATTAGCTAGAGTATTTTGAGCATGAGCATATCGGACCAGCACGTGGACGAACATAAGGATTCCCGGCGCTTGCGATTGTAACGTGATCTTTCTGAGGTCTTCCCTAGGTCTTCCTGAGGTCTTCCTGTGGTCTTCCTGTTGCTCATCAAGCGACGTCACTCCCTCACCTTTCCTACGACATCTTTAGGTCATCATAGATATACTTTATTTATTTCGTTTCCAGCAGCGTCGCTTGTTCACCTACGAGTGACAAAGGACATCGAAAGTCAGCAAATGGTTCTAACTTAGCTGATCTACAGGCCCGCATTCGAAACACTGTGCACCATTGGCGGTATTCGTCGGTCTCATCTGGCCTTTCTCACTTTAATTCCGTTTACGAAGCTCCAGGTGGTAACAATTAACTTAATCTATTATGCAATGATAGCGATCTCGCGGACGCCGCGTGGTCTTGAAAACTGATGTTTCTGCATGCCCCTTTTTCGTCGACGTTTAGCCTAACACACTCATTCGATCAGCACAACAATCGTAACGAAACACGGCACAGTAACGTCAGGAAGATCAACACGGTCACTCAGTTAGGTTCGAAATGCAATTGAGCATTTGTTGAAATTGGTTCTGGCCACCACCGACGGCTGCTACAAGCTAGTTGTCGTTCAAGGAAACGACACTGCTTCAAACACTCTTCATGCTTCATGACTCAAACATGCTTCAAAACTGCTCAGTTAGGTTCGAAATGAAATTGAGCATTTGTTGAAATTGGTTCTGGCACCACCGACGGCTGCTACGAGCTAGTTGTCGTTCAAGGAAAACAACACTGCTTCAAACACCACCGACGGCTGCTACAAGCTAGTTGTCGTTCAAGGAAAACAACACTGCTTCAAAGGTCAGTGTGAATTATGTATAAGTGCAATCCTTGTAGCGTAAAAGGCATACAACCTCACGCAGAAAAAACTGACAATGCGTTATTGAGTAAAACCTGGTCGATGAGAAAACATGTAACTTGACCTTAGTTGAATATGGCCCTGAACACAAAACGACCTTAGACTATCTTGTTGGCATTACATGAGCTATCGCATAGCGGTTGTATTCGTCTGGCACCCCCTTTCCCTCGGAAGGTATGCATCTATCCCGTTGGGTATGTAGTACTCCCCCTTTGGAAGTGTTGCTCCCAACGCAGCGCACACAAAACCCGATTCGGACCAAAGTGGCAGTAGGGTTTGGGGGTCAGCCACCAACGGTTTCGTGGGTCCTTAACGGCCATACGACAGAGTTTCCCTTGATGACATAACTTTAGGATTGATGTTTTACGAGCGGGTCGGTTGCCGAGGCCATTTCGTTCATCATTACGGTCTTCTAAGCGGGCCCCCCTTTGCTCGATATCGCGGCGGAAGCAGGACATCCGGTGCCGACGACGACGACGTCTCCGGCGCCAGACGCACCGGAGACGTTAGACACGCTATCGCACGCGGCACCTGGCAGAAATGACGTGTTTTTCGCCAACTACCTAGCCATCATCCACGTGTTTGTCTTCCAGGCTTCCGATTCGACCCGAACCCCACGTCTCCTCCTCAAACTGCGAAACCATCGGTGATTGCAAAACGGAACTGAGCCCGTGGTCTATTTCCCAGACGACGTGTTTGTACCCCAGCCATCGACCGATCGCATTGCCTGCAGGCACCTGGACCCGGTGGCCGCTCGCAGCCGGCGCCCGCGCGCGCCGGATCCCATTTCAGCTCATTATAACCGGCGCAAAACAGGCGCGCGGCGCGACGCTTTTTTCCGCACCCCTTGCCTGATCCCTGGTGTCGCCATCCCGCCCGCACCCCAGAGACCGGTCGATGCCGGCCTCCATGACGGCTGCCCGGTGCCGCCCGCCGGCCGGTATTGGCAGGCGGACGTCATCGCCCACAATGGCAAGGCCCGGTGACCCCTCCCCGGACGGTCGCCCGCCGCCATCAGCTGACGCGGCGGTGCAGTATGGGCAGCTATTGGCCGAAAGCCCCGAGCGTCCGGGCGGCGGGCGGCGGGCAGCGCGGCGCGACCGATCCCGGCCGCCCCGCCGCCGGCTGCCCCGGCGGTCTGTCTGCCTCCAGCTGCAGCCACCTGCCTGCAGCCATCCGGCGGAATGCTCGCCGTCACCCGGTGTGAGAAGCTAGCACCAACGAGTCGGTGGCAGCCGCAGACGTCCGGAAGGCATGGAGCGATCCGGGGAGGGAAGGGGTGGGGGGGGGAGGCGGAGAACTGGTGCTGCGGCGCCCTGAATTCTCGCTTCTTTCCCAGCGCGCCGCGTCCTCGCTTTCGACGTGACCAATAATATTTTGACCTATCTTCCTCACCATAATCCCAAGAGCTACATTCCTCCAAAATACCGTATGAAGTGGTCGCCCCAAAAATACAGCTTGCGGGCAGGCAGATAGGCAGGCATTGTGTGCGGCTGACCCACTGCAGAGCTTGTTTGGAAGACCGAGACTGGTGACCGGTTCTGTTGGTCTGAGCAGCTCTGCCGTCTGCTGACGATGAGTGGGGACAGACATAACAGGCACGGATCCAACTGCGCCGACCGCTGCAGAGCCCCAGTCTCAGCCGCTGCCCGAGATGGTCCCGGTCCCGAGCGACTCGATTGAACGCAGCTAGCGGACGTTCTCCTACAGAAACTGCTACTATGGACGTCAGTTGTACGGCTGAACGCCTGAGCTATCTCCGTTTTGCGTTGAGCAGTCTGTCACGTTAATCAACCAAAGAAGTATCCAGATATTGTAGCTTCAGCGGTGGTTCCTGAATTACAGTGGCGAAGGCGAAAACCAGTATAAGGAGAAAACGCTTACCAGGTGAACGCTGATAGCAGTGAGACAAGTTGAACTTCCATCCGTGAAATATATTGCGCTGAGATATGTTGGGGTGGCTACACATGCCCAAAACACGAGCATAAAAGGATAGCTCTGAGCAACATAAATGTGAAACCGACAAGGCACTAGTAGTGGAAACCAAAAGTTAAGCGTTTGCCGATCTGCTATTCGAAACCTTGCTTTCAGGACTTCTGAAACTGTCTAACGTTTCTGCTGCAATTATGACGCATGTAGCTGTAGGTATTTGCGGACTGATAATTTGGTTTCCTTTCTGACGACAAGTGCGGCGTTTGCGCGGGCATTTAACCATTAGAACGATGTCGATATTTGACCAAACATTGAATCATTAATAACATATTTCACATGTCTTTGACCTCGAGATTCCGCGGTCACCGGCAGAAAATTGGCAATTCTGAATCTCGGCATTCACAAATGCCGGGAATTGCAGACAAGCGCATCTACGCACCGATAAGCTCTGCGCTTAGTTAGTGCCGATGTTGGTATCACCAATCCATCCCGTAGATGACTGTGCGGAGAACTCCACAGACCGGGGCCCGTCTTTGAGGACTTAGTTTTAACACACAATTCTGCCGCCACACAGCAGAACAGCAAAATGTGTGATATCTTTGCGCCTTCTATGACACGTGACTTGGGTGGAGATGCTATGTGAACTGACTTTGGCTTTGATGCGATAACGTTTTTATAGCGGCTCACGCTTTCCTGTTGATCTGTTAGAGCGTCAGGCGAAGCGAACTACCGAAAATAGACGAACACGTGCTGGCAATTTAAGTCAGTCATCAGAAAGAAACGTGCGATGAATTCCGGAATCTATAACGAATATAATGAATGCATAGTTATGACTCGCTTTTCGATGAGGAGTTCGGAAAGCGTGCTTTTAAGCGCAGCGGCCAAATTTCTCACCTTCATCTCAATAGCTCACATGACATATATTCTTGACTAAATTTATCGCCCTTTTTGTCCCAGGGTACTCCCCACATGACAGTGACCCATTCTCAGACGCTGGCACAGCAGTGCACCCATAATGACAGCCTGACTTTATTGTGCAGATAGTTGCATTGCAATGTTATCAACCGTTGAAAACGTGACTCCACGATAATTCTGTCCATCAATCCCCCAGAAATATAGTCAATAATCCTGCATTGCTGAATAGGCGCACACTTCTTGGGCACATACATTGCTGGCCTTCTTACCCATTGCTTGTTAGATTTCCGTATAAACAGAAGGTGCTTGCATGTAGTCAGCAATAGATCAGAGAACGGCCTGACTAGTGTAACAACGAGGAATGGGCGGCTCCAACTCACCTTGATCGTCGACGTCCAGGTTCTTCAGCATCCACGCAATCAGGTCTGCCCCAGCGAAGACCGACGGAATCTTGGACAGGAACGACTTCACCGTTCGCACCGGAACACCCGCCTTTTCATTTTGCATCCGCTCCACTATTCGCTCCATCTGGTGGACGCGCGTTAAGGGATGTCATCCCACAAACTGCGACCAATGACTGAGATAATGAAGTCACCCACTGACACTCGTCGCGGCCAATTGGAACAGTACTAAGAGTCCTGGCTGACAGTGCTCAGGTGCTAAGCACCTGGATTAGTCACCTAGCTATACTTCGTCTAGGGGCTGGGCAAGGACGTGAGGGTAAATGCCGTTTTGTCCATGAAATGCTGCGATTTAGAGCCGAATTCATGACAAATCAGCTTCCCCCCCCCCCCCCCCCTGCTATGCCCGTACCTTGTTGTAGACGATGTGATTGGGCGACTCGTCGGCGTGGCCGTGCAGGATGTGCGAGTCGGCGGGCGCGGCGGGGGTCGGCGAGCCGGCCGCCTGCACAGCCGGGCTCGAGCCGGGCCCGTTCAGCTCCGCCTTGTGCCGGGCCGCCAGCCGCTCCGCTGACATAATGACCATGCCCGGGCCGTGGGACCGCGGCGCCTGCCCGACACACACCGTGTCACCGACCGCGACGTCTGCCCGACACGCGCCGGACACCGCGTCGCCGAACGCGATGACTGCCCGACACACACCGTGTCACCCACCGCGGCAACTGCCCAACACACACCGTATCACCGACCGCGCCGCCTGCCCGACACAAACCATGTTACAGACCGCGGCGCCTGCCCGATACGAGCCAGACACCGGGTCACCGTTTGCGGCGCCTGCCCGATACGAGCCAGACACCGTGTCACCGACTGCTGCGCCTGCCCGATACGAGCCAGACGCCGTGTCATCGACCGCGGCGCCTCCCCAATACAAGCCAGACGCCGTGTCATCGTCCGCGGCGCCTGCCCGATACAAGCCAGACACCGTGTCACCGACCGCGACCACCACAGCTTGGACGCAAGGACTGCTTGGACATGTTGGCTGTGAGAATCCCCATCAGTAATTGTCACTTCTCCTCCCTCGTGGTAAACAGCGCAATTTATCCCAGGTGAATCCCAGGTAAATGTCAGTCAAGTTTGAAACTCCGTCAGCTAGGTTACAATTAGCGTAGATGAGTGCAGATAATCGGACAAAAATATCAGCCATGCTCTTCATGCTTCATGACGATTCTGGTGGAGTCCACTGCGGATAGCTCAATTCCATGAACTGCTACGATCACAAGCAAGATAAAACAGATCGCATAAGATGCGGCAAATCAGGCTATCGGGCAGACGCAAAAAGGACATCAAAAATGCTGACGCGCTAAAGAGAAAACACTGACACCCTCAACGACCAGCCGACCCTGTCACGCTTGCAAAAACGTCGCTATTTGAAGCGGCACAATCGATTCACCACAGGTAAATAAGCGTGGACCGCGTGGGTCAAGACGCACGTGACCCGCATGTTCCAGACGGCGTCATCTCCCGCAAATTGACTACACTTCATGGAGGGGTGTCCTTTTTGCCACAATCACAACAGAGAAAGGCGCTTTTCTCTAGCATGTCAGCATTCACAAATGGAAAGGATCTGATTGAGATGCTCACCAGGGCACGTAATAAAAATCCCCGCCCTCTTTGCATGTCAGTCTCCGTTAAAGCAACTATGGCACCTTGATTGGTGCACCTTTTATTGTTACCTGAATAAGTGAAGGTCTTTTTAGCACACGAGCAGCCTTGATGTATAACTTTGATGGGTGCTGAACAGCTCTCAGCTTTGTTGCCTGTGGGCACAACGTCGATGACCCACACGCTCCATGCTTGCTCGCCTTCGGTGAACTGACTACGCCACGTCGAAAGGCGCCCTTCCTAGCAATCGTGACACGAAATATTATTTTTAGTCCGTCAACACTTTCTGCTGAGCGCATCAGCATTTTAGTGTCGCCCTGAATGGGCGGTACTGTATCCCTCCGTAATTCGCTCTTAACATAGGTTCAGGTCAGACGACCTGATGAGACGAACAGAGACTGGAGTGTCGATAGACAGCGAAGGTACCCACGCCAGGTCAGACCGGAGTGTCGGGAGATGGCGAAGGTACCAACGGCTGGTCGGACTGGAGTGTCGGGAGATGGCGAAAGTGCACATGGCAGGTCAGCTTGGAGTGTCGGGAGACAGCAACTAGAGTGGAGAGACAGTTCAGACTGGGCTGTCGGGAGACGGTGAAGGTACCCACGGTCGGTCAAACTGGAGTGTCGGGAGATGGCGAAGGTACCCACGGTAGGTCAGACTGGAGTGTCGGGAGATGGCGAAGGTACCAACGGCTGGGGGGATGGCGAAGCTACCCACGGCAGGTAAGACAGCACTCGACGCTCTCAAGACCAGCGTTTTGAAGCCAACAGGCAAATTACTAAGTCAAGATTGTAGGTTGCAAAGTCGAGGCTCCAAATATGCTCTCAGTCAGAGCGTTGGGTCCAGTGTCCGAGTGCTCTGCACTTCGGAGAGGTCCTTCACCAATCGCAGTCCGGAGAGGCCCTTCACCGATCACACTTCGGAGAGGTTCCTCGCCGGTCACACTTCGGGGTGGTCCTTTACCGATCACACTTCGGAGAGTCCCCCACCGATCACGCTTCGGGGTGGTCCTTCACCGATCACACTTCAGGGAGGTCCTTTACCGATTACGCTTCGCGGTGGTCCTTCACCTATCACACTCTGAAGAGGTCTTTCACCGATCACCCTTCGGGGAGGTCCTTCACCAATCACACTTCGGAGAGGTCCTTGACCGATCACACTTCGGAGAAGACTTTCACCGATCACACTTGAGGGAGGTCCTTTGCCAATCACACTACGGGGATGTCCTTCACCGATCTCACTTGTAGCAGCATTGTGGTCTGTTTAACTGTTCCACCAGTCAGTTGTATTCAAAAAAGGATATTCCTGATCACTTTAAATAAAGATTACAGGCCTGTGCTATGAGTCGTAAGTGCAATGCCTCCTGCGTAGTCTGCGTAATTGTGCTGACAGAATGGAAGTAAACAATCCAGGCATTTCCTTCAATATAAGCGGCGTAATGAACGAATATGATTTCTCCAGACACGCATATGACGTATTCATGACATTACCAGCGCAAAGACACGCAGCAGCGGACCAGAAGATCACAGAGCATTGAAAAGCGACATTGGCCACCACATTATCGGAGCGTCAAGAGAATTTGTAAATGGCATCAGCTCATCACACTCACTGTTCTCACATTACTTAATCGTAACATGGATATTTCCAACACAAATAGGTTGATATGCGTCATGCATATAGCACAGAGGAATGAATGCTCGTTCTACGGAGTGACTTGTAGAAACGCTCACACACCTCTTCTAGTACTGTCCGAAAGTACACATATTTGTTAAATAAGTTTTTGACATATAAAACAAGAGTGTAGCAAACCAGCTTACATAAATGTTGCAAACTAGTTTTTCTTCGGCGATTTGCCAAGTGTCGACGGCTTCGTATTAACGGTAGGTAAACATGTGATCCATCGAACACGGATAAGCAGAACAGTCTGCCCTTCCAATGATGATTGGAAGGGGAAAAAATTGGGATAACTCAGAACAATTATTGATTGGTGAAATCGAAAAAAGTTGAGTAGCGTAGTGATTTTCCGGGGCTGCTTGTCTTTGAAATACGCTTATGCGACTCACGCACTCGACCAAAAGTGTACGCAAAAATGTCTGCGCAATGCAGAGTGTGCAGTGTATGTACAATTTTTGCTTACTTCTGGTTGGGTGGTCCCAATTATGTGCATTGTATAAGCGGCATTGAGAGTGACTAAACGTAGCTGAGTGAATGAGATTATTGAGTCTCAACATGACTTTAAGGAATGTTGCTTGCGGTAGTAACACAGGACAAAAATAACTGTGTGAAATACCGGCCAGACGATGTCCAATTAGTGTTTCTATTGT